TTATAATTATTTGTAAATTCTTGAAATTATTATTTCATTTTAAATTGCTTTAATTTATAGCTACTACAAATATTATTACCGCGTTAACTGCGCAAGAATGTGCATTTTATTCGCTGACGTTAATTCTGTTAATGAGAATAGAAAAATCAGATTTTTTTTATCAAACCCTCTCTATCTCTCTAGAAAACAAATATTTTTGTTAACTTCCATATTATCATAATCAATTCTAGTTGTCCCCCCCAGTAGCACAGCGGTATATCTGCGGACTTACAACGCTAGAATCCGGGTTTCGATACCCGTGGTGGGCAGAGCACAAATAGCCCTGTGTGTAGCTTTGTGCAAACAAACAATTCTAGCCTACATTATTCAAAACATTATTGTTTGTGTCGACTGTTCGCTTTAGTTTTCTCATATATAAAAAACGATATTTTTGTAGCCAAAATAAAAAAGGGAAAGAATAAATAAAAGTACTGTAGTCTTGCTGTTTAATAATTATCTCATTATGCATAAAATATGCATGTTTATTATAAGTCTTTAGAATTGAGAACTGCAAATGTTTTGCTTCATTCTGAACATGACACGCCTCTAGAACAATTCTGTAAAATTTCATTCACCATCTTTGTCTACTTTTGATTCCAGACACATGTGAAGTTCCTGAAAAAAATCAAAATTTTTCATTACCCAAATCCTCGTCCGTCAATAAACAGGATTGTTGCAAATATTCTTTTTCTTAGCAATATGAATGGTCAAGAATACTAAACCTGCTTTAATATGGTTCTCAATATAACCATAAAAAAATTAATCAAGCCATGTGCAGTAGCGAACACCAGATTGGTTGACTGGAGCGCGAACACCTAGCGACTGCGACTAGTGAATCCTTACTTTAGCTATTATACATTTTACAATACATACAAACACTTGGAGTGAACAGCCGGAAGCAATGAATTCAATCTGTATCTACTTAGCTGTAGCAGTTACTTACTTCTATTTAGTTGTAAATAGATATTTATTCATGAAAACATGCTGCATCATCCGTGAATAAAAACTAACATCGATTAATTAAAAGATAAACGAAATCCTCATCCTCTTTCCGAAGCTCATTTCGCATAGTTCAGCTTACAACAAGAGTGTCATCACATGTCACTTCTGTTTCCGTTGTCTTCCTTAAAGGTAACACACTTTACAATCCTGTAAAGATCTGGTTAAACTGATTACAGTGTAAGTGGTTTGATTTGATATAACAAAAATACGGGAAATCCATCCAAAGAAAGCATGAGCGAAAGAAAAAATACAAAATTCTTCTTTAGCTCAAACAGTAGATGATATCTCATAATCAGAGCAAAATAAAGAAACTTGTCATTACTTATATTGCGTCACTTTACTTATGTTCTGTAAAACTGATTTTAGGCTCATAATTTACCTACAAATCATCACTGAGTTACACTAACAAAAACAAAGTGTAATGTGATGAATTAGGTCCCAACTTACTGTACACAAATAAAATGATACGATGTGAATGATACCAAGATGTCATATTTTACTGTGTTTATGAGATATTCACTGTTCGAGCGAAAACATAAATTTGGCTTTTTTGTCGCTCAAGCATTTTAGATGGATATACAGCTACCATTGAAAATGTAGCACTCAAGTGTGTTTATCACGTGAATCAAACTAATAGGTTGTTTCCAATATATATATATATTAGGGAATATACAGCTTGTCAAGGAGTGGCGACTATTAAAACTTCAGAATGTACAATCTTTAAGTGAAGGGTTCAAAATATTCAAAGTTCTACATCTTCAGACTGATAACACTGGCCAACAAGTCATTTTCATTAGATATAATTATAAATAGGCTAGATAGCTTTTGGGACGCTGATTCCGAACCTGTTTTTGGTTTTCCTCTAGCGCGTCAAGTTTTCGTGATGAGACCGATCAAATTTGAAAGGTTAGTTATTGCCCTAATTATAATTTAAGTTGTTGTACATTTCTTTTTTCATAAGTGTGTAAGGTATATATTTAACCAAGTGTATGGTGTGTATAACGTTTATAGGAATTATACTGAAAAAGGAACAAAGTTGTAACGTTAACTAGCCTAATGTGTGATTATTACCTAAATTGTGCTGAAATTATCACCAGTCATACTTCGATAACTAGATGTACTAGAATAAAACAGGTTTGGAATCAGCGTGCGAAACTGATTTAGAAAACTGTGTTTACATTTTTGATGAGAGAACAAAGTTCGATTCTGTCGACCAGTGTAATCAAACTTTTAAAAGTGAAAAAGTTGCTTCGTTATTGTATATTATTTATATTTAATTAAGATATGTAGACGAAAAGACAATATGTTTGAATAGCGTAATTATTTGGGGTCGTAATAATAAATAAGAAATATATTTTTGGAAGAAATATGTTGCAAAAATTTACTAGTCAGTTCAAAACAATAAAAAAACAGACCAAAACCCGTTCTTTACGCTACAACCAAGTTCACACAAGGTTTTCCTTCTAATTTTTTTTAATAAGGCAGTTATGTCACTTTGACAAAAGCTATGTAGATGTTGAAGAGATTGTTTCATTTTTTAATATGATCAATCGTAATTGAATATTGATTTCTTTGAAAAACAAACACTAGAGTGACACAGGAGAGCCCGGCATGGCCAGGTGGTTAGGGCACTCGACTCGCAATCTGAGGGTCGCGGGTTCGAATCTCCGTACCACCAAACATGCTCGCCCTTTCAGCTGTGGGGGGCGTTATAATGTGACGATCAATCCAATATTCGTTGGTAAAAGAGTAGCCCAATAGTTGGTGGTGGGTGGTGATGACTAGCTGCCTTCCCTCTAGTCTTACACTGCTAAATTAGGGACGGCTAGCGCAGATAGCCCTCGTGTAGCTTTGCGCAAAATCCAAAAACAAACAAACAGACACGGGAGATGACTCTTTCTTCCTTATACTTTGGAGACAATATATTTATCAGTGTTATCCATATTGTTACTGGATAAGACACCTTAATGAAGTAAAAATGAAGCATAAATGTCTATTTAACTATATATATATAGTGACGTATTTGTTTTCAATTACTTAAACTTTTTGACGATTTTTTTTAAGCTGATCGTCCTCGTCTACATTTCAAGAGAGTACATTGTACAAAGCTATAATAATCCTCAGTTTTTGCATTAGGTTAAAAACTGTAATTTAGCTGTAGATTTGATGATTTTTTTGTCTTCCAATTAAACACAGTATTATTTACACTGAAACAAAATAAATTTAACTCATTATTTACCGAATGTACTAGAAAATACATTCCCTAACCTTTTACCCAAAACATTAGTAAAACTTTATACCTACTTACAACTCAAATATTTATCCCTGAATACAAATCACCACAAGAAAGGAATAAAAACAAATTATTAATTAATCAGAGCTCGATCCAAGTATACTATAATGTGAAAATAAAATTCGACAACTGAATATTGTTTTCACTTACAGATAAATTCAACTCACATTCAAGAGGATGTAAAGAACATTGTATTTATCACATAAATCTAACTATTGAATTACTCTAGTATAGATATAATATAATAGTGCGTGTGTGAATAGATTGTGAAATAGGCTTAGGACACATAGATCTAAGAGAAGTAGTGAAATAACGGGAAACAGCTCAGGTGCAAAAGAAGAGAGATATGAGTGACTGGACATATATGTTAATAAAAATTATATTTTGTTGAATTTGAAAACCCAACTAAATATTGTAAACATCCTATGAATAAACTTGCGTTATAAAAATGTTCATGTATTAAGTTAGGTAATGTAAATTTCCATAAGAAACTGTGTGGCGTAAATGCTCTATGCATAAGGGGTTGTTAAACGGCAAATAAAATATATTCCAAACTATAATTGGCTTGATAACGCTTTATAAGAACAGTGTTCTAAGTTCTGTGTTGCCCTTCGAACTACTTCCTCATCATCGACAAGGGGGTACGGTCTCGTGTTCATAATTACACATTGTATCCTGACACATCAAATTTCATTGTCACAAGCTTTATCGAAGATCCACAAGATTAACGTAGTACAATGAGATTGCTATGATTTCAGTGTCTTCGGTCATGTTATGAAAAAAAAAATTGATTCTGAGATATGGCTGGAATTTGTGAACATTTGTCTTGTAAGCTTTGAAATATTCGATTATTATATTGTTAATGGTGCCAGTAAAACATTCTATGTCCACTTCAATTGGTGCTTGTATCGCAAAAAGTTCTCTTTCCAAAGCATTGACGTTACTTTGTAAATGAGCGTATTATTCTGGATTGATTACGGGTGTGAATTCAGAGATGGATAGTTACTATCCTAAATGATCCGTTGTGCGAGTTTTTCTGCTTCCGTGGAGAACATTTAAAAGCCCCCGTTTTTGAAGTATTCAATTTTTTTCTCTACATCATTTAACAAACTCTATATATGAATATATTTTCCCCGAAAAGCTATGACATATGGTCCAGACATAAGTCAGTACATTACACTATCGACTGGTCGGGATTTGTTATGAATCAAATATATCGGTGTTAAACATGTCCCTCGTGGTGCTATGGAATCTACGGCAACAACCCACAGGATTAGCATATATAGATCGCTCTTCTAGAGCTAGATTAAACCTCTATATACTTTTATTAAACTTTAAATATTCTGAAATTTCTAGTTAAATCTTTATAAGAAAAAGGGAGGAAAAATATTTATTTTGTAAATGACATAGAACATTATGCATGCCGTTTTCTACAAGTAACAAAATTAGTAAACCAACCCATTGGTACTTGGAAAAATCTTTGTAAGTAATATATTAACAACTTAAACACATTTTAATTAGTTGTTTTTCAAACCCCTCGGGCTAAATAACAATACCATCCGAGGGCTTATCCAGTCTTATCATACCCACAAGCCTCTGTTTCTTAATCATATGGAAAAATGTGGAATACGAATAAAATAGTTCGTACGATCACGTTTTCTTTCAGTTCTACCAAAAGGGGGACCTACGATCATCGGGACCAAGTTTCAGTACCATATTGGAGACGAAGTTAACGTCACCTGCCACGCAGCTCCATCTAAACCAGCCGCAACTTTTAAGTGGTACATTCACGAAGAAGAAGTAAGTGAGATGTTCACTATCAGTTATAGCAAGTAGAATTTGTTGTAAGTGTTGCAGTGGGCTGAAAGTATACGAATATAAATCCTCATATAAAGAACATGCATTTTAAATTCGATGAATTTTCATTATTATCGCTTATTATTACAAATGTAATTAAACTAGAAAACCTAAATGTATTTGTTTATTGATTTGGAATTAAGCACAAATCTACACAATGGGCTATATGTGCTCTGTCCACCACGAGTATCGAAACCCGGTTTCTAGCGTTGTAGATCCGCAGACATATCGCTGTGCCACTGGGGAGAACCTGAATGTGTAAATGTAACGTTTTAAGTAAAAGCAAATATGTTTCCATAGGACTTTAGAAACGAAAGTAAACCGAATGTTCCTTTCATATTTTGTGTATTGAGAGAAGACATTAGCTTCAATATTTTATTTGTTATATGCTCTGTGGGGAGACAGGTATTATTCTGATACTTCCGTTTTACTTACACTAAGCTCTCTCTCTCACTGAAGATTACCAAACGATCACAAATATTATAGTATATCATTGAATTCCTGATAAAAAAGTTAAAGGATTTGACGTTTACTCTAATAACCATTACAAGATGAATCACTTCCCTTAATGTCGACACTTTTTAATATTTAACACGTTATCACTAACACTCGCACAAAATCTAGAAAAACGATAAGTTTGTACTTATTAAATGTGAGTGCAATCTGCTGAAAATTAATATTAAACTTTACGTCATTTAGATGGACTTGTGTACTCTAAATGTTCAATACTTGTACTTGTGTAACTCAAATGTTTCATACATACTTGTGTAAATTACTCCTTGCAAAAGCTAAATTAAAACATTTTGTAGAATACTAAAGTAGTATTAACTTTTCTTCATAAACTCTTGGTATAAACATTCCGTGCATAAGCTTATTTTATGTAAATATTCCATACTTAAGCTTGTATATTGTAAACATTCTATACCTAAAATCACTTTGTGTAAAACTCCTCTGAATAAACTTGTGTTAGGTAATGTAAACTTCCATAAGAAGCTGTGTGAGTAAATATTCTATTCATAAACTCGTGTATTGTAAACCCTTCCTATTTTAAATTAAGAAGTTGTATAAAATGTGTGTAATGTACACATGAACACATTTCTTATCTAAACTATTTCTATATAAACCTTTTTTACATAGCATATATTTTGCATATGTAAATTTGTGAAGTGTAAATGTTCCATAGATAAACTCTTAAAGTATATATGAATTGTATAGATATTTTAAGAGGTTCGTACAAAAACTAACACGATAAAAATTTTCAATACAAAAGCGAGTGTATTATAAATTTGTACATAAAAACTATTGGAGTGTAAACATTCTATATGAAACTAGTGTACTGTAAACATTCCGTACCAAACCTGATGTACTTTAATTGTTCCATACAATATATAGTGTAGTGTAATGGTACCATATAAAACAATTATAAACATTCATAAAAGATAATGTAATGTGAACTTCCATATACAAATCTCTATAGTTTATATGTACATACTAATCATTGAATAAAAATAAGATAACTGTATTCAACATTCCGTATATAAAGTTTGATATAGTTAGCGTTCATATATTAACTATATCCCACAGTATTTAATGCGTTGTAAACGTATCATATATAAAATTATATAGTGTAAACGTTTCATATGTAAATTGGTGTTACATAAAGTACTGTAGTATCAACACTCCTTTAATCCACTGGTATCTAATTACTTTTGTCCACGGACACGAAAGGAAATGCAACTTTATCTATAGCTAGCACATTACATAAACACTAAATACAAGCAAGGTCTACTTATAAAAGTTTTTCTAAAATTAATCTTCATAAATGAGTGTTGTGAGCCAAACTTCATGGTTTCAGGTACCAGTCATAACCCAATGACAGTCTACTGAGGATCAGTGCTTCTTACTACGAAGATGATCCATTATGGGTGTATTTATTAGCATCCTCCGCCCAGAGTTGGCTACATTGATTACAGTACCTTTTGGTATGGTTACTGGAAACAGTCCTTCAGTGTTTTAAAATTTTTTACGAGAAGAGGGATTAAAAAAGCCCATGATATAGAGCACATTTCTACTTTTTTTTATAAACATTTGGCTTTGAATTTAATGGCACAAGTACTTAATCAGTTAAATGAGTCAATTATTACCTTCTACAAAGCAGGGTATGCATTTAGCAACTAATGAGGTCATTAGGGATTTAATAACAACAGAAACATTATCTGACATTGTTCTTTACACAATTTTTGCTTCATCAACGGGCATCCTTAGTTAATTATATTAATTATTGTAAACTTTCCACAATACTTGATGTACAGTAAATGTTCAATAGGTTAAATGTTGTTTTGTAAGCTTTCCATATACACTCGTACGATGTAGTGTAATCGTTCCATATGTAAAATGATGTATTATGAACAAATTAACACAAATTAACGTTGCATAAATGTTTCACATTAAAAAAAACTAGTTAGCGTAGTGTAAATTTTCCATACCAAAGTATATGCAATACAAACTTTTTTAAAAAATTAATAGTAATATAGTGTAAACCCCTTCACAAAATAAGTAGTGTATTTAAACTTTCAAACATAAATTTCTATTATAAACCTGTTTCATGTACGAATTAATATAAGATGAACTTTCAACACATAATTTAGTGTAGTGCAAACATACAATATGAAACCAAACATCTGGTGCAAAACACGTGCAATGTGAAGGGATAAATCTACCATAAACATTACTGTAATTTCACAGTAATATTTACTTGACATGTCTAGTTGTAACAACTTGCACGATGCATTGTTAAACTTAGCCCATGTTACTGTTTTACTTATTAGTAGGGTTTCGTACAAGAATATAGTTGCGATCTAGATAAAAATACATTGGTATAATAAAGTGATATGTAACATTACCTACATATATCCCATCGAACCCTAATTCTAAGGGATTGTAACTGAAAACACAAATTTTAATAAATGATCGATATAGTCCCTAATCCATTAGTATATTTATTAATAATATTTTAATCTATTTTCGTTATTTATTGTTTTACTTTCCAACCAAAAACTGGAACAGCTGAACTACATTTCTATATCATTAATATCTTTTCTTACGAGATTTTTATCACAATGATTCATTTATGAGTTAGGTTTCGAGATGTTAACACAGTTATATGTTAAAGTTTAAAAGTAGTTGATCTGAAAAAGTACTGAATACGCTGCTAAATTCGTCCTGCACTGTGCGTGTTTGATTACAATAAAAATACTCGAACTCATTTCACTGATTGCTCGATTTTAATATTCATAGAATTTTGATTCGAGTTTCGCTCAGGTTTTTATGATACATTAATATTAAACTACGTTTGAAAAGAAGCATAATCTTCGGATTGTATGAATTCAGAAGCTTCATCTATTTATCAAAAAACGTCTGTTGTTGTTTATCAATTGACAAGCAGGCTGATTAGTTATTTTGACATAGTGCCTAATACATTCTGGTGAATAACTCGAATTAGTTCTTTAAAAATCTTAAAATACAATGGTATAATTCGTATCTACTTTCATCGATACTATAATCCACATTTGAGGTTAATATATGTGTATTCTTCCCCTATTGTGGCGTTTTATGTTTAATAAGACGTGAAGAAAAGTTCTGAAGATGTAGTTACAGATTCCTTTTATATTCAAAGCTAGCCAGAAGAACACAGTATGTGTAAGAATAAGAATTAGCCAGTTCCTTTTAACTTCAGGTTTCCCCAGAACTTTTATGGCATGCTCCCGTCGTTCGATATCGAGATGGACTTCTTAGCAGTCAGTTGGGACTACATTTTATCGTAAAGGCTTCACATTTAGTGAACGGTGTGTTGAAGTTACGCTGTTTAGCTGATATCTCACAAGCATACTCCATGACAAGTGAAGAAATTATTGTTGGCAATACTGTCAGGGCATCTGGACTGTATACAGGTAAGTTGATATTGTTTATTGGAACAATAACATTACTTGTATAGTGTTTTTATCTGTGTTTTACTCACCACAGTTTACCTCTATTTATATATGGTTTTGAAGAATGTATAGCATGCATACTACTAATTTATTCTTTTTAGCTACATATATATGAATAATATTATGTCTTATGATAAGTATGATTATAATATCATTTGTTGAGGAAAAGTACTAACTCCATTGTGGTTGGCAAGAATAACTCATCGGTTATATCTCGTTATGGAAGTTGTATGTAAGTCTCAAAACCCAAATAATTAATATATTAAGCGATATAATGACGTGTAAAAACGTACAATATATATATATACAAATAATGAACTATCAGCTATTATTCATCGATTGATTTTTAACACAAAGTTTGTGAGTCAAAGAGATCGAATTCTTGAGATTGAGTGGGCTACAGAATGGTGTCACGATTTCTGGTATTGAAGATAGAACAAAAAATCTACTATAATAAATGAATCGATCTATTAGCTCCAAAACGAAACACACTTTACTGAGAAAATAGCTCAGCTCGAAATAGTGTTCGGCATTGAAGAAATTAAGTTTACAGGATTGGCCGGACTGTGTTCTTCTTACATATAACAAACTTGTTCATGTTCAGGCAGGTATTGCACTTAGATATCTTACTACGGAAAGTAAGTTTTGTTAATCTTTTCTCGCCATTTTTATCGACAGAACTCGCGAAAACTGCCGAGAAAAAAAGCTTTGGAAAGCTGAGTAACCAGATCTTGTATTGCCCAAACATGTGCGGACACAGCTTTGTTTCTTTTTTATATTTTAGTTTGAAGTATGGGTTTTACTCTCTCATAAATCTGGGAACTATTACAAATTTGGACATGCTGATAGACAGTTCAGATTTCAGATGTTGCGATAAGTTCAAATCTTTATTCATAATTAGGAAATGGAGTGCCGGAAAGCTTTGTTTTAGGGGGAAAAAAAAACTCACCAAATATATCTCCCCTACTCGCAGACTCGATCATAAACATAGTGCTTTTGAAATAACAAAAACTTCCTAAGCTTTTAAAATGTAAATTACAACACAAGCATTAGGCACAGAGGACATAAAGATCACTTACTTTGCCCAATAATGGTTTTGTTGTTGTAATTTACAGACAGAAAGCATCATAATAATATTCCATTTACTAACTGCCCTTCAGGTATAACTACATTTTGCCCTTTTGCACATTGAGTTTCGATTCTTATTGTGTACTAAAAAGTTTATTTCCATTTAAATTCATCAAATCCTTTGTTTCTGTTTCACATCTTGCGCATTCAGCTTCAGCTGGTCAAAAATCATTTATTAAAAAAGTAAAGAGAACGTTGAGAAGAGTGGATTCCAACACCATTGTAGAATTATATAAACTGTATTTCAACTAAATAAATATATTGAACATGTTTTATAGTTAAACTATTTACAGAACATGTTTTATAGTTAAACTACTTACAAAATATTAAAGAGGCAAAATTCACTATTAAATTATTCTATAACCAACTGAACAACGCAGCTGAAGTTGTAGTATATATTTGGATCGCAATTTGCTCAGTTAATGCAGTTAATGAATAAGTTTGATTGAAAATTTGTTGGTTGTTACAACTTATGTAAAGCTTCTGTCTAAAATACTTTGTATGAATATTTGGCAAAATTAAAAAGTTAATAATAAAATATTGGTTCTCTTTGCAATGTATGGTCTCTGCATGTGTGGATCATATTTTTGATCATTATGTAGACAATATAGTCCTTCTGTTTATTCGTACTGATGCCTTCTTACACCATACATGATCCATCCCATAAACGAATGTATTAAACAATGTTCAACCAACCACACTGTTCAACTCTGGCTCTCTTTTCGATGCAGGTATAGACATGAAACTTTGACTCATCTGCAATTTTCTCTCCAATTTTTCTTTCTAATTAAGCACTTAAAACTTGTCTGATTTTGCTGTTTAGTACATTTTTGATCAGCTGTTGAGGCCTCTACTTCTGCCTTACGTTTGGAAATGGTATAGTTTTAATCGTAAGCCTATGTCTTCTACATGAAATTATTACCAACTGACTAATTTGTGGGTGGCTTGTTGTTTTTGATGGGCGGTACCTACAAGATTGCTACGCACCCACACATGCGCACAGATTAAATAAAGGAAACGTTGTTCATCTGTGAAAGGAGCAGACGTTTCTGGCAATTTTGGTGATATCGACAAAAGTCCAAACAAGTTTTATGGTTAACTGTGGAATTGAAGTAGGTTTTGTAGATGTTAAGCCGAACTCGTGAGCTATGTTCCTTACTATTTGGTCTTGATAATCACTGCAGTGTACTGTCTTATAGTCCATACAAAGTCCACGGGCATTTAACTGGCAATTCCTAACAGGCAGTTTACTATCCTCCTCCTTGTTCAAACTGTCTACTGCACAGAACCAGTTATCTGATAGAGTGACCACAATTTTATTACTACAGACCTAACAACTGTTTATGTCCAGTTACAAATACTTGAACAACTCTGACAGCCTGGACCTACGTCAAAAGTCTCAATCTACGATCTATCAGCAAGTCACGCTTTCACACAGAAACAACAAAATAGATTTGAAACAATCATCAAAATGGTAATTTAGAAACTGGCACAGTATAAATGTCATACGATTGTTCTAATACAGGTAATTTATGAAAAACAAGTCTAATTAGCCCTGCGTTCCCACAATAGGGTACGTGAAACGAGAAACTTATTGAAATCATTTGTTTTTAATTGCAAAGAATTGTAAATTTTGGTCATGTTAAAATTTATCTTTTTTGTAGTGTAGCATTCATTAGGTGTAAGGATTTATTGGTATTAAAATTGTCTTGGTAACCCTGGAATATTTACGGACAATAGAAGTATATGCAAGCATTCAATAAAAAATCCAGGTTATGTTTGTTTTTTCATTACAATATTTGTCTGCTCTGACGACTAGCAATCGACGGACCGCGCATAGAAGGTGGTTTAACTAAATACCAAGTGGGAGATGAAGTTGACGTCAATTGCACCTCCAGAAAATCCCAGAAACCTGCAAAGCTATCCTGGTTCATCAACGATAAAAAGGCATTTGACTTTGTTTCAAACTTTACTTGTTAATTAATGTAAATAATTTTATAAGTAGAAAACGTATTTTCATTTACGAATTCCTTACTTTACTTTTAACCTCGTAACGTTATTAAGTTTAACACTATGGATTTTCTAACATTATATTTTAACTCTAGAAATGAATTGTTATATGCATTGGATATCTGTTACTACAAGGGTTATCTATCCATTTGCATTACTTTATGAAAGTATCGGATCATATATCTTTGGTCTACACTATCATACAGAGCTAACTATTATGTGATTACTCAATAGCACTACATCTGCAAGTGATAGCTCCATCATTACTGTTTATATACATGAATATTGTGTATGATATTTTAGTTACTAATGTCACATTACATCAGCATATGAACATTCAGTTTCGAACTTACATTACCAAAGGAAATACAATAGTGTGCGCAGATACGTTTTGAATCATTAAAGACTTTCAAGTAACTCATTATTATCAAGTTTCAGAACAAAGAAAACTTCCAAATTGACTAAGCTCAACCTGCATTGGGTAAAATGTGTAAAAAAAAATGTAGAGAGAAACAAGGTGTCACGTGCGTGATGGTTCTGTATCGACGAAAGCAAAACAGACCCTCTTTTTGTTACAATAAAGTGTAATGTATTATATACACCCATACTGGTTACATAGTATATAGGGTTGAGTACGTTATATTAATGCAATTTTGAATATGCAAAACAACAGGTCATGTGTCAACAACAAATGATATAGACATTTAGAGTTTCAGAGACATCCTTTGTGCTTAGTACCATTGGAAAACAAAGGGATATAGGTCATGTTGAGAAAAGGACCATCCATCAATAGATTTGCAATAAGTCGTGCCCCAGCCGGGCAGGGATCCACAAAAATAAAAATGCGTACCAAAGTATGTCCATGTTAACCAAGCAGAAGCATGCAACATAATAAATCAGCTACTCAGTCTGAAAAAGCGACAAAAGTCACGTGTACCCAAGTGTGTACCACAACATACCTGCTTCATCATCCAATACTTCAAGCAGCTGACAAATGAAACGTTTATTAAAGCCATTCCATACGAAAACATATTGGACAAGTCATAGAATAAAACTCCTATAGATTTCTGTGTGATCGTACTGTTGAAACATGAGATGGATGTCCTTCTATACTATATAGATTATGGAAAGTAGCAGAAAGAATGGATGTGATTTTATATTACAATCTTACAAAGGAGCCTTTTGGAATGTAAACTAGGCTGCAGGGTTATTGTCAAAATGCAACGTCGTCAGATAGAACATGACTGGACTTGGTGACATATGCTGTAACAAGGTGGTAAGACTCCAAAATTGTTTTGAGTCCACCAAGTTTAGAGAATCTTTACATTAGTTTTGATGCTCTGTTCATTTCACTCTCAGAGCATATGAGCTTCATAAACATTCCTGCTGTTCTGAAATTCTATTAACTAAATACTGTTCCCGCTTCGACGTTTCGACAGATTATAATATACTGATGATATCCACAAAATTTTGTAATTAATTATTCAAAATAAAAGATGGATCTGAACCGAATCTTACTTGTCGGGATGCGAAGGCCTGAAAATAATGCATACTAATAAGGTTTTATCACTGAAATGAATCCTCTAGTTTTCCTGCTCACAATTTTCACTGGTATCCACTGGCATGATAGGACATTTTTATACACTAAGAGAAATTTTAAATGAGATGAGAAAACTGAAGCCACCCTCTAAAAAAAGGAGACGTCTGTCTGATCCAATGACGTGTATTCTCGCAGGTTGGACTAAGAAGAGTAAAACCAATTACAAAGGCAATCATAATAGGCAATATTATAAAGGTAAATTCAGTACCGTCATACTATACAGATTATAATCAGATTAAGCTCTGTCTTTTTTAGTGCTTCAAAATGACAAAACACCATACAGAAAAGTGTTCCACTTATTGCATCAAACGTTGAGCGTAAAGACATTCTTCACCTAGAAATGCAAGGAAGATTAGAAAAAGATCCAAAACGAACATAAATTTTCATAATACATGTGTCTTAAGCTATACACGCCTTCCAAGAGAATTGAAATGTACTGAATTTGAGGGATTTCTCAGGGAGCCTTCCCCAAGATCTCAATACTCAGCCTTTGACTCCAGCATTAACTGTTTCATTTGTGGCGATAATTTGTTGCCTGGGAGCTCTAAGAATTCAGACAGAGATACGTTATTCAGTGCATATCTCTGATTGTAAACCGGCATATACTAAAAGTCTGCGATGAAGACCGTAAATACTTCAAGAGAGGCCTTGCTGGCAACCTTCTCTTTATTTTTCTCGTTACAATTTTTGTATTTGCTGCTGCCACCCATCCTTTTTCAAATCCTCGCTTGAAATATTGCCTTTCTTGCTTCCTACTCAGCGCTTTCAATTCTACTTTAACGTGCCAAAAACATACCATTGCAAGTGCCTTATGGCGCGTGAAGTAATTAATGCAACCTAAAGCACAAATTTAGACAATCAAAGGGTTCATAAAGTTCGCAGAATTTTGCAGATAATTCCACTTAATGTAAGTTTTTTTCTAGCAAAATGAAAAATTTCCCTCCTATGATACTCTGAGCAGACTTTTCCAGACCAAGACAAACAACAATCACAAATAATCCTCCGTCCATTTCACCGTTGTCGCTGTAGAGAACGTGGCACACGGACACTACTACTTTATAAGCATAAAGATAATAGAATTTTAGCAAGCATTCTCCAATACAGTGCATTGACTTTTATCACCGCATACTTTGTAATTTACTTATATAAACCTAAACAAACACTAAACACATTCAAATTCGTTTTCATGCGATAGCAAAATTAAGCAGTGGGGTTTTATCTTTCTTTTCTGATATCTTAGTACCACGATTACATTTGTTTTTTTCCAAACAAAACTATTTACGATTAAATTTAAAACAATCTTTTAGCATTAAAAAAATCTTAACCATCCTAACTGGAAACACGTCATAATTTTAATCAGAACATAAAGAAGAAGCCATTATAAGAAAAAAAAAAATTTGTACGCACTTTTACGCAGTTATTATTCGGCAATCTAACTGTATGAATGTAATAAAATATTGAACAAAATATAATACTCTTAATGGTATTTTAACGTTATGTTTGTTCATATAAATTGGGATACAAAATGTGTTGATAATGTAATTAATTATATATATGTAAATATCATATTTTCTGTTGCAGAAAAAACAACATTTCTTTTTGCAAAATATCCATGATGCTTTATATTTACTTTTGCTATTTTTAAGAATCTTATTTCTATATATTTGACGAGCCTTCCATTTATGGGTATCTAATTGTTCCAAAACATGTATTGTTGTTTTGTTGTTATTTCTATATTTATTTTAATGAAGAGTAAATAGTAAAGTGTTCGCTCACTATTTTTTCATATTATTTTTCTTCTTTGTTCTCAATACCCTAGTTTGTAATATTTTGGAATATATGTTGAAAAATACAAAGTTTCGTAGTATATTGCATTTTATTCCAAATAATTTCCAAATTTGAAAACTTTTGAAATCTGTGATACATCTTTCAATTTGGAATCGAGCGTGGTCCAGATTCTGGATCCGAAATTCCATAGTTTGCGTCCCATTACCATGAAAAAAAATCAAAAAATCTGCGCCTCGGGGCCATGGGTTCTATTAGATTTGATAGTCAATTTCCGTTATTAGTAACCCAACAGTTAGCGACGGGTGCTGTTGATTAGCTTCATTTCCTCTAGTTAATAATTTCGAAATTAGGACAGCCAACTTCCATAGTCTTTATACAACTTTTCGCGAATATCCGTACAAACAAATTCTTCACTTTAAAATATGTTTTAAACGATTAGCAAAGGATGTTGTTGTGCATTTTTAATTACAATTTGGTAGAATTGGCTTTTTTTTTCAAAATGCAATCACAGTTTTAAGCCTTCTTTTGTAAATGATAGGCTAATACAGGCTTCGTTGTACCATATGAACTCCAAACGTACCCTAATGGGCTAAAAGCGTCGCTTCTAGGATTGAAGTTTGTCGTTAGAGGACACCACTTTCACAAAGGAGAAATGAGACTAAAGTGTACTGCTACATTGACTAAAGTGATCCATACTAGTAGCGAAGAGGTTTTTGTGGGCGGAAATCAACAGAGTTCAGGACTACATGTATCTGAAAACGGAAGTGCAGGTAAAAATATACTCATATTCAGTATTTGGGTTATGTAAAATTGCAAACTTTATTGATTTAAAATGCATATATGATTTCAAATCACAAGTTAACATTCTTTCTATTTTCCATGTGTCAAACCATAACATATATAAAGCTTTTAGAATATCCGAAAAATATAATAATATTAGTTTTTATATATGGAAACATGTGTTAGCTGAGTTCTTGTACAGATCTTAAAATATAACGTTGACAAATGGAAACATCGGCACATGTAGATATGTAGATCTTGAAAGTCGAGTTGTTCAAAACTTTAGAATAGCGTTGATAACTGATAAACAACATGTGCCCACATCCATAAGAACTAA